ATGTACATGTATGAAGGTTACAATTTTAAAACTTGGCATCATAATTCCAAGTTGCCATACTCAAGATTGTGGTTTTACTGATGTACTGTACTATATTTATCTTTGGTCCCTCAACAGGCTCTGCTTTGCTTTTATCATAATTGTGGTCATATCAATGTTTGATTTCAGATTAACAGAATTTGATGTTAAGATCAGTTACTTTTGCATGTGTGTGGCTTGTCACCTAGTGGGCATCAACAACTAGCTAAATCCAGACAAATCACCGAACTTCAGTTTATTGTGTTTATTTTTACAATCCAAATGTTATTGTAAACTTAATCACTTCCTGCATTATGTCTACAAACATGGTGGCTACTCTCAATGAGAACAATTAATGTTGTTGCAGTTTCTTTAAGCTGTTTGCTTGGGCAGCAGTTACTGGGTTGTATTCTCACCATTCCTTATTAAACAGAGGCTGTAGACAGTTGAGGTCAGCCCTGCAGCTAATGGTCTCTTGTTGAACATTTCTTTCATCTTTCTAAAATTCTGGAATACTTTTCTTTTTATTACAATATGAATATATATATTACAGCACTTGCATTAGAAGCTGTACCTTCATAATTTTAATTAAATAAAAAACAATGGATCTGTTAAACATCTGTTAGTACATTTAAAAAAACTTCATATCAGCCATGATTCATATTATGTACAACAGTACTTCTTACTGCGGCATGTCAAAATGTTCAGGACTCTGAGTACAGTAAATTGCATTATTACGAATGTCAGTGTGATTTGTATTGATGGATTTTACTTCCCCCCCCCCACTTGTAGAGAAAAAGGCTAGAAGTTAGATTTATCCAGCTCTCTATAGTAAAACCTATATAACTTCTTTAAGCAAGTAATGTATTTGTACTTTATGTTGACGCCCAGTAATATCAATTAGCCTTAGTGGATAGCACAACTTGTTTTCCTTGTGCAAAGTGCAACTGGATAAATCCATTTCGTTCCCTGCCACTGGCAGTCATCCACGCAGTAACATAAAGCTACAGCTTAATTTTTAATTAGCATTTTGATTTGGGTAAGGAGGTGCCACTAACAAATGCAAAAAAAGCTGTCTGATTTATTGTCTCTTCATCTCACGCTCCTTAATGTTCATTTCTCAGATCAGTGCCGCTGACTGGGGACAAGCTGAAACGACATATAACCTCACTGAGATGCTTTTCAAGGTTCACAAGGTAAGTTAAGAGCATGGAGCTGTCATGTGCATCAGGGCTGTTGAGAGTTTGATCAGTGCGGTTTTCATTTTAGTATAGATGGCTGTTTTTTTTCTCTCCCGCTTTTCTTTTTATGAGAAGAATGTTTCAGGGGATCTACTCAATATGGCTTTCTCGACCTGAGGTGATATTTGATCCACAAACCTGGAAATGTAAAGGTTTTTCAATTAAACTGAGAATGAATGAATTAACTCTTCATTCCACTCACTGACTTAAGCATTAAAAAGTGAAGAGACAGCAAAACCTTTTCCCCAATATATATTAATTAAAACTTTGTGTTACAGCTGTGGATGGCCGAGGACTGCTGGCTCCAGGCGAGGCTCTACTTGGGGCTGGAGCATTCGCCTGAGCAGCAGGATAATGAGTCTCTGTGCTTCAGTATTCTGGTCGGCCACGGCCAGAGCCACACCTTCAGGGTAGAGCTGGCCACTGACCTGGCCATGTGGGAGAAGTCCTTCCAAAGAGCTGTCTTCTTGGAAGTGCAGCGAATACGAGTATGTTTACTTACTACACTGCAGATTTGTTCTTTCTTTCTGAAATAAGGAGCCTTTCTTTTTTAAATTTTTTTTTTTTTTGCTGAATGCTACTCAGATTAAAGGTGTTCTCATAGCAGGAGAGCCTCTCAAGCACCCTTTCCCAACCTCAAAGTTGCAACATGAAACATTTGATGTTGGTAGAAATTTTGAGCACAGCACTGCTTGGTTGCTTTGAGTTTGGTTTTTAGGGTAAGAGAGGTACCACCAGATTTGGACATCATGCTGTGACACTTTGATGATTTTGCTAGCGGACTTTGTCAGGACACAGCAGCAGCACATTGTTTTTAATGATGTTACCGTGGTAAAATATTTCAGATGGAGATTTAGCTTTTTTTTTAAGATGCTGCAGGTGTTTTATCAGTCTCATTTGGTTTGTTGTTTCATCAGAGGAAAGTGATGTGAGCTGCTCTTCATATTTAAAACAACTTCACTCAATAATAAAACTGTGATCCACAGTAGGTTACGACTGATCAGGACTGAATACTTGGATCGATTGGCTGATACAGCAGAAGAATCGTGTTTGTGTTACACTAAATGCATTTTTAGACTGATTGTCAGAGCATTAATGTACTGGGGGGGCAGGGGCACACAGAGATGGAGAACTACCAGATAAAACATTTGGTGAATTGTTCACATTTGTTTTTTCATCACAACTGTCCATCCTAGCACTAATATAAAAGTGACTGAAAAGTATTTTCTGTTGACACATTACAGGATCGCTGCTGCTTTGTAATGTTCATAATTTAAAATTGGGCAACTTTGTTTTCCATAAATGTTACTTTATATGCATTTAGCGTGAGTAACCAAAAGACTTAGTCCTCACCCCAATGAGCCGTTAAATTGCCTCTTAAGCAAATGTGTTTCAAGTGTAAATGTGATCAGCTCTTGCTGAGTGCATTGTTAAGCAATTCTCAGAAGCAGCTGTTACGAGGCTCAAACATAGACATGTTGGAGTTCAGATCATATTTTTCCAGTTTATGCATCTTCATGTTTGATTTGAGTTTAAATTTTTATAATTTTGTGCACTTTATTATTATTTACTGGCCAGCTACTGTATACAGGTCCACTTGTCACTTCTAACACATTGCATGCAGGCTTACTGAACTGCAGTACAATTTTGCTTGATACCTTTATATTATTTACTATTGTTCAAACACTGTTGTTACTTTCAGTTCATACTCCATGCGCAATACAACAGGTATTGTTACTTTCAGTTCATACTCCATGCGCGATACAACAGGTAAAAACCTCCTAGTGGTGTAAACGAGTGGAGTGTTGTTTTTTTAAGGCTCTATTATAACTCACCAGTCGTCATGCATTGAGGAGGAAATGTGTAAAAAGCAGGGACTGTAGCACAGCCTGAGATATTAAATCATACTAATACATTCATTAATGCCTAAGATGGGCCAGAAATGTCTACAGAGGTTTATTTTTGCCTTCATATGTAGTTGTTTGTACATACAGTATTGTGACTGACATGGGATGCTGCAGTGACAGTGCTAAGATCATGTTGAATTGCAGCATGTGCTCTTCAAGTTGAACTGTAGAAGAGTGCAGTAGGCAACATTTTGAACACAGTCAACACAATAAACAATCTAAAGGCTCTATTCTATTATAAAGCCTCGTCTGGTTCTTTCAAACCAGGAACTCCGAGGGACGACTCAGACCACTTGAGTATATAAAAATATAACCGTGCTGGTTTATTCAAAGAGTCACAGGCAAGAATTAACATTACGAGTCCAGAGATCTTCCAACCCCCAGGCTGCCCAAGCAGCCCAGAAGCAGAAAAGGCCCAGAACCCAGAATTGCTATACAATATCATCACTTAGTTGGCTCGCCCCCTCCTCCACCACCCAGCAGGAAGACCCAGTGTAATGGTCAGAGAAGCAGGCACCTAAAATGTACTATAATAAGCTACAAAGATTGGATGATAATATAAATAAATGTAATGGCTTCAGGTTTTCACTGTTTAGAAGAACAAATCATTTCTCCAACTATTTAACAAACTTCAACAGTATCACCCTTTAATTAAAGTGTGTCTAGGCTCTCTAGGTGGTCACATGTGCATGACTGGAGTGAAATCAATGCTGACTTAAACCACTCCACCTGTGACCACCAACATGCTGTAGTAGCATACTGCTGTTGTTACGAAGAGAGTCACTGAATATTGAAGTCTTGTGTTCACTTACTGGAACAGCTACAGTTGGAAAATCAGAGCACACTGTTTTTCCCCCACACAAGGCCCTGTGGGCACTGCACCATTCAAGCAGTACATACTGTAATTTCCCCAAGCACTGTGCATGGCGAAAGCGAACTACAAACACACCAGCCAAGGAAGGTACTTTTTTTTTTAAGTTGTGAGACATTTCACAACACTCCAATACATTCATATGCAGTTTAGGTTTGAAGATATTGTTTCACAGAATATTTGTTTTCATGTAGTGTACACACAGCATTTAAAGGTACTTTGATATAGTGAAGTCATGCAGTGCACTGTGCTTAGTCTGACATTTTCAATGGTATAGGCCATTTAAATACTGCCACTGTTTTCAGTCTGCTCATGAAATTCATTGTTTGAGGAAAACAGAAGTTAAGAACAAACCGTGTGCTAAAATCCTCCTCTGAACAGCAATTTTCCAGTTGTAGCTTAGCAGCTGTTGGTCTTTGGTTCTTGTTACCATTGCTAACTCTGAGAGACGAGACAGTCCAAGTAACTTCAAAACAGTGCTGATTTATTCAAAGGATCACAGGTAAAATTAACATTACACGCTCAGGTATCTTGCACCTCCAACCTGCACGCAGGCAGATGTAAGATGAAAGACCCTGAACCCACCAGGCCTATACATTATATCCCCTCGGTTGGGCTAGCCCCATACTACACAGAAATGTCAACCGAGACGTCTCTGTTACCAGCTTTGCAGCTGGTCATAGCAGTAGTCAAAACATGAAGCAAATCAATGTGTGTGTGTCTGTTGATTAAGTGGTGTGTAGCTAAAAACATTCTCACACGACAGTACATGTCTAGTACATGTCGTGACTTAAACATAAGAACATATTATGGCTAAGGCTACAGTTATACACATCATAATAATAATATTAAACATCCTGTCTGCTGACAGTCATCAACTCTTCTCTCTAGTTATCCTTGACCAGATGTACCCTGTAGAAACTCATAAGCATGACTAAGCATTTAACAGTCTAACTAGACATCCTATCTCCACTAACATTTCTAATACATAAAGTATCTATCCAATATCTGACTAAAAATACCTAACACAGCCATAACAATTGCAGGCCTATCAAGTTTTAGTTGAAGCATGTGCATGGTGCTTGGTTACATAATCTGTGAGACCAGGATTTGACAGGTATCGCAACAATATACTGTGCTATAATGGAACATTAATTTATCTTTCGCTGAAATCCAAACCCAGTTTACGCCAGCTGATCAGGCTCACTCTGCTTTGAATGTGACAATGTTGACTGTCAAGTCACAAGTGAGATTTAGGACAGTTTGAAATTGGGTCTAAACAGCCAAACTGACGCACATCTCAGTGTGTTTTGATATCAAACTGTCAAAATTCAGTGTGGTTTAAGTCTCATTTTAAAAATTGATTTATGATAGAATACAGGAAAACAGATTTAAGTTGAAAGTGCCAAAATCAAATTTGTTGGACTACATGATCTGAATCTTTGTATACATTGAACAGTTACAGTAGATTGACACTGTGAAGTGCATGTTTACTTTCTCCATGTTTGACCCCGTTGTTTTAAATTGGGGCTGCCTGAACATGTTTCACCCCATCAGTATAAAAGCAAACATTAGCAAAATATGCTAATGTAACAGTTTTTCAATCTTAAATGATGCACATGTAGGACACTGTCCTTGGGGAATCCAATGAATGTGGTGGATCTCAACTTGCTTGTGATTCTGTGTTCTCCAGCCAATTAGGCAAGCCTCCTCGGGATTCTGAGGAGCGCTCAGCCAAGTCTGGTGAGCGCTAACCTACAAAGTGTCTAGATGTGTGCATTACATAAACATAGTTGACGGGGTAGAGGTAGGGGGTACAACTGACAAAGCTGTCCAGCCTGCATTTTCTTGTAATTTTTTTATGGAGAAAAGGAAATGGCATAGCACTGATGGGAAATTTTAGCTCGCAGCAAGAGGCTGAGTGATTTCATGTGGCAAACACACATGCTATTTAGCAATTTTGTGATATTTTCATTTTGAACTACAGAGAACTGAAATAATACTCTGATCCTAAACACTTGAACTATAATATCTAAGACAGAACTTGGTCAACTCACACTGATAGTTTTAATTTACTCTATTCACTTAGTTTTTACTTTGGACAAGTAATATCTGTCTACAGATGATGGCTGAAAAAGCTACAAATTGAAAAATGTAAAGTTGTGCACATGACAGCTATAGAAGCTGTTTGCTTGTACTGTAGATGGCACACTTTGGTATGTTTATACATCTGCTGCTGTTTTGTTTTTGTTTTTTTTTGTTGGATGAAACTGGCTGGACCTTATCAAGTTCATTGCATCAAACTGTTTTAGAACTTCTTCGAATTTCTTCAATAATTAAATAACTGTGCAGAATGAAGCAGAGTTCACACTAAACCAACCCCTTTAATCTTTGACTTATTTCAACAGTAGCTTCTCTGTTTTAATAGCAATTTAGTATCAGGAGAATGTCCTTGGCTGGCATCCAATGGTTGAGCTGCCCACTTTGTATGTCATGTATTAAGGTGGTGCAGTGGTTAGCGCCGTTGCCTCACAGCGAGAAGGTTCTGGGTTCGGGCCCCTTTCTGTGTGGAGTTTGCATGTTCTCCCCGTGCTTACGTGGGTTCTCTCCGGGTACTCCGGCTTCCTCCCACAGTCCAAAGACATGCAGCTTAGGTTGATTGGTGTCTCTAAATTGCCCATAGGTGTGCGTGTGTGTGGTTGTTCGTCTATGTGTTAGCCCTGCGATGGATTGGCGACCTGTCCAGGGTGTACCCCGCCTTCACCCTGTACACCTCCTCAAATGTAATAACAGCAAGAACTTAGCAGCTGGCCTACTGCTGTTTATCCTCATCACAGCTGAATTTGTGACACCACTGAAAATGGGGGGGCTGTAATAACGGCAAGAACTTAGCAGCTGGCCTACTGCTGTTTATCCTCATCACAGCTGAATTTGTGACACCACTGAAAATGGGGGGGCATGAGAAGAGAACTCGGTAAAAGTATTGTACAGTCTCATGCCATATTCACTTCACACTGCATTCTATAATTGAAATATCTATGCTCACACTGTGTTCTCAAGTGAAAGGAAGAAAAGAGATGGAAATAAAAGGAAAATATAACCACAATGGGTCTGATTTCACCAACATCTTCCTGTTTTCTTAAATTTCTTTGTACATTGTTCTTAAGAAAGGTCCCAAGTCGTTCTTCATGAACATGTTCTTAAACTGCAGAGTTGTTCGCCCCTGTGTTCTTGTTCTGAAGGATCTTAAGGATAATCACCTTCATTTGGCCAAGTATGTTACACCCAAGGAATTTTGTTTCCGGAACCAAGGCAGCCATTTATGGCGGCAACTCAACCGATGGCTCTAACCATCGGGGGCAACTTGGGGTTCAGTGTCTTGCCCAAGGACACTTCGACCTGTGGACTGTAGGCACTGTGATTCGAACCTCCAACCCTCCATTTGGGAGACTGCTGCTCCACCCACTGAACCACAGTCACCCCCTTAAGTTGAAAGCATGTGCCAGTCGTTCTGATTAGCATAGGTTAACACCCTGCTAATGCCCACAAAAGGGCACAAGACTGCAGGGCCATGTGCACACATGAATCTCACATAGAAAAGGAAGGAGAAGTTTGGAATCCTGCAAAAAAAATCTAAAGACAGTGGAGCAACAAACTCCAAACCTAAGAAAAATTTGAGTAGTTATGATGTTGAGAACAGTGAATGCCATATGTAGTAGCGTTAGTACTGGATATTAAATAAAACAAAAAAAGACGGAGGAGGACAGTCTAGCCCAGAGTTATCTGAGCTGGACCAGCGCATCGGGGCCATACACAGCTCTTGCGGGTGTGATGTCAGCTGAGCAGACCTCAATGTGTGCTCCCAGGTGGCTTCAGCTACCCTGAGGCAGATCTCAGTGCTGCACAACCAGACGCTTACACACAGACACTTAGAAATTAGAAATATAGATATGCATTTAAACATGTTTGGTTTTTAAGGCAGGTGTTTCCAAAATTTAAGCTACAAATAGTCACACTATAAAAGTTGCATTAATTTTAAAACCTTAAAAACAAATAATTACTTTCTGTAATTGTGTGTAGTGGGTGGCACAGCAGCATGGTGGTTAGCGCTGTCGCCTCACAGCAAGGTTTCAGGTTTGAGTCTGGACTGACCTCTGGCCTTTCTGTGTGGAGTTTGCATGTTCTCCCTCTGCCTGTGTGGGTTCTTTCCGGCTTCCTCCCACAGTCCAAAGACATTCACCTTAGGTTGACTGGCGACTCTAAATTGCTTAATTGGAGTGACTGTGAGAGTGTGTGGTGGTTTGCCTACATGTCAGCCCCGTGATGGACTGGTGACCTGTACAGGGTGGACCCTGCCTCTTACCCAATGTCAGCTGGGATTGGCTGTAAATGATATGGAATGGCTGAATTTTTAGTATAGTTTGTTTTAAAAGACCACAGTCCTTTGTAAAATAATGAAAAAATATGAAAAAAATGGTAATAATGACAAAACTGTTATTGTAACTGCTGAACTGAAGAAAACTAAACCAGTTATTTCACATATACGTCTGCACTTAAATGTGCTTGAAGTGTGTGTAGATTCTGTTCTTAAGAACAAATGTTAAAACATTGGTGAATGCCAGTATCTTCGTGAAAACTGTTTTATGAACAAATTTGTTCTTAAAGGTTGGTGAATGTGACCCAATCTTCATACATTTGTATTCCAACTGTGTAACACAAAAACGAAGTTGTGTGACAAAGGCCTTCAGAGGGATATTACTCTGCAGAGCATAGAAAGCTTTACACATCAGTGCCTTCAAAAGACCTGTGAAAAGAAGTGTGAGACACATGCTTGTTTGTGTTGCAGCAACAAAATGAATATTAAAGATTTAGGACTTCCAAAATGGATTTCCTCAGGCATGTGTCTCAGCTACACAGGATGCTGCTTTTTCCATCAGCTCATGCAGGACAAAGAATGAGATTTGCTCCTGCTATCAAATCTTCCAAGCCTAACATTTCAGACTGGCACTTTAATAAGAGCTCTCCACATGTACAGTGTAGGTATGAGCCGAGTAATATTGTGAATATTAAATAATTTTGTAAACAGCAACACAAGTAAAATAAGCACATTTTTATTTCATACACAGGGCTGGATGAGACAGTTTTATTATGGCAGTTGGTTTCTAAAAAATGTTTATTTATTGGATACACAATTTTGTGGCAACAGTCAACAAGCTCTGTATAAGCATGTACAGATTTACTTACAAATAACTCATTGTGGGTTCTTAATATTGTAGTAGCAAGAAAAGTCTATTAAAAGAATTCAAACATCAGTACCGAAAACTTTTTGCTTCATGGATGATGACTCATATTAGCAGTTCACAGAAAGGACAGAAGAAATTTAGAATTTTGCCAAAATTATTTAGAACTGCAGTTGTTGAATCTCTTAATGAAATGCAAGCTGGATTCCTCTGTGTTAAACAATTACCTTGGAAAAGTTATTGAGAAAGCAGTTTTGGTTCAACAAAACCTTTTAAATATAATTGGCCTTTTGGACAGATTTCGGTCAGGCTTCAGACAACCACAGCACTGAGGCTGCAATGATAATTCAGGTGTGACATCAGTTTTGGTGCTGCTTGATCTCAGTGCAGCTGGAAACATGGGTGGGTTTGTCAGGTACAGTCCTCAGTTGGTTCGAAGGCAGGTGTTATGACATTTTCACTGGTGATCTTAAATCTGATTAGATCACCATGACATGCGGAGTCCCTCAGGGTTCGATTGTTGGCTCACCGCTGTTCAACTTGTACATGCTCCCTCTAGCTCAGGTCACACATGACAATAACGTTGCCTAACATACAGTAGCTACACTGATGGCACTCAGATTTACATAGCTATATTACCAAGTGGCTATGGTCCTATAGACTCACTTTGTCAGTACTTAGAGCAAGAAAATACCTGGATGTAATCAAATTTCCTTCTTGTTTTTGGCACTAAGAAAGAAAGATCAGAAGCTATTGCTCAGCTTGATTCTAGAACTATAAAGACAAAAAACCAAGTTAGTAATCTTGGTGTCATAACTGATTCAGACCTGAGCTTCACCAGTCACATCAAGGTAATAACTAAATCAGCTTTTATCATCTCGAACAAATAGTAAAACTCAGACTCATGTCCAGACAAGATGTAGAGAAACTCATTCATGTCTTCATCTCCAGCAGGCTGGACTATTGTAAGTCTTTTGTCCTAGAATTAACTTTTATGGTCAAATGTGTTTAAAGCTTTCAGTGAATTTGTGTCTGGTTTCCAGGAGCTGTCGGCCAAGATCACCTGTACAGAAACTCCACCTGATATTGTTGGCTGGGTTGTGTTTGTTAATTTATATTACCAACCACTGTGCTTTTTCTGTCATGACAGTTCAGAATGTTGCAGGGAGAAAAGCCTGTTTTGTGATCTTAAAAGAAGACAGTAAATGAGTGCTAGTGCTGACATGTATGATGAATACTAAGTGAATTATTTATTCAGTGCCTGGTAATAGTGAACTGCATTTTCTGCCACAAATGGGGGAAATTTGTCAATTGCACAGCCTGTACTGCAACATACTGTATGCGCCTGTCAACTTTATTGCTATGGTTTTGGATACAAAGAAATGTACCACAATAGTAGTTGCACAATATGTCATTAAATGTGAAAATTATCATGTTGATGGATATCTATTCTTCCTCAACAGTCCAAAAGCTACACATGCAGCAGTCAGGGGAGCATATTGTGCTTCACCATAGATTTTGGTTCAGGGTTCACCTGCTCCAACCGCACTTCAGAGGTAAAGTATTACTGAGCTACGGTTGTTGTTGTTGACATCTTGGTTCTGTGCTGTTTTTGACTTAATAGGTGCTGAGATTACAGCATGTCATCTTTATTCCCTGTATTGATACACAATATGTACCTGTATATGTGTCGTCATTCACTGAGGCTTCTGTTGTATTTGAAAATGTTTTGCAGATATAATAAAAGCCCCGTTTCCAAATAATGTAAGGATATTCATGTCACTAATTTTGCACTTGGACTTTCCAGAAGGTTTGCTATTGTTATAAAAGGTGCCTTGTGAGATGGTTCTGGCAGCCTTGCTAAGTGTTGTTATCTCTGCAGTGGATACATTTTAAGTTAATTAAATCACTATAGATTGGTGCATTACTTATTCCCAAAGCAATAATGCTTTTTTGTAATAAATTGTTTCCTCAAGTACTACTGCAGATTAAAATCAATTCTTTATCATGCAGGTCTCTTTGTCGTAAGACCTGGTATTTAAATGTTGTGCTCATTATTGACGTGCGTTCCTTCCTTTGTAGGTTATACTGTGGCGATATAAGTTCTCTCAACTGAAAGGCTCCTCTGATGATGGGAAAACCAGGGTAAAACTCCTTTTCAAGAATGCTGAAAGCAGGCAAATAGAAATGAAGGTAATGCTTTTGTTTTCATCAAAATTTAAGATGTACAGTACTTACAGTGCCATGTCGAACTTTAGTTCATGGATACTAACTAAACTGAGAGCTAACGGGTACATTTTTTGAACTAGTGAGGCATCCTCCCGTGTGTCTGATCCATATGTCCACTAAAAGCAGCTTTTTAAAAGAGATCTTAAGTTTAAAAACTGTTTTTAATAGAATCATCTTGTAACAATTTGTCTCTCGGTCCTTGACTTTTCCCCACCAGGAACTAGAATTTGCTAATCTGACAGCCGTCCTCCACTGCATACATTCTTTTATTGCTGCCAAAGTGGCCTCCATGGACCCTCTCTTTAAATGCAGTCAAAGCTTCCTTGGAAATGACATGAACAGTTAAAAAAAACACCTTGTCATCATCATGTGCGCCTGAGGCCAATCAGCAGTATTTCATGCACAGAGCCAGTTGATATGTATATCATGTTCTTGCTATTTTTTATATGAACTACTGAAGAGAAATATTTGTAAAAGACTGTAGAGGTAAATGTATGAAATGGAAAGAGAATGTTAAATGTTTGACAAGTAGAAAAAAAAGATTGATAGTTCTTCCATTTTTTTTCTCCCATTACATTACTGGCACTGATTCTGATAGGTTTACTTGTCTACCAGGTCACTTATAGTACTGTAGCTTCCATGTGGTATGCAACTGCAAATATTTGACAATGTGAAATGGATTCCCAAATATAGCAACTGCCAGTGTATTTAGCAGAATGTCTATGAAGAATTTTGATGTACCTACACCTAGTAAGTATAGTGGCAAGAAAAAGTATGTGAACCTT